TCTGAGCTAACATCTGCTGCCAATCTTTTTTCTTCTTCTTCTTCTCCCCAAAGCTTCCCCATCCATAGTTGTATATTCTAGTTATAGGTCCTTCTAGCTCTGCTATGTAGGACGCCGCCTCAGCACAGCTTGATGAGCAGTGCTAGGTCTGTGCCCAGGATCCAAATCGGCAAAACCCTGGAAGCACCTGAACTTAACCACTACGCCACCAGGCTGGCTCCTCACACACTCTTCTTGATGCTGGAGACAGAACAATGAAAAAGCTCTTGCTTTCATGAGGCTTACATTTTAGCAGGTGAATAAAATGATTTAAAAAAAAAAGCAAGCAAATAAATGTCAAGTGCTATGAAAAAAATCAGGCAGTGTAAGGAGATAGGAGTGCTGTTCTAGACCCAGTGGCCTGGAAAGGCGTCTCTGATGAGGTGACGCAGGAGCAGAGATCCATATGAAATGAGGGAGTAAATCACAGGCCCACCAACGGGGGGGGCATGCCAGGCAGAGGGACACGCATGGGCAAAAGCCCTCTTTGCACTCTACTCCTCTTTGCTCAGTTATCACAGGCGTAATTTTGTATTGATTTCTATTTGTCTTTCCTTCTAAATTGTTCTCTCCGCCAGAGCGGGGGAAAAAGTTTTTTTGTTGTTGCTGATGCTCATGCCCCAGCTCTTAACACTCAGTGATAAATATTTGTGGAATGAATGAAAGGAACCAAAAAGGAAAACAAAAGAGAAGGGGAGATAAGCGGAAGCCAGATAAAGATGTGTCTAATGCAGCAGAGAAGAAACAGCATAGAACTGAAAGTCAGGTGACACTGGGTCCTACCGCCTACCAGCCACTTCCTAGCTGTCTGCATGAGTTATCGGAGTGGCAGTTCTTTCTTCTATAAAATGAGAGCTGGACTAGATCTAAAATGCAAATCATTCTCTGAACACCAAAGACACTTGTCTTAAGACGTGGTGAAGAAGTAAAAGCCATCTCCACTTTTTGAATGTAGCTGTCAAACAGCCAAGTTCACCACTATAAATAGTCTATGTTAACACCTTATTTATTCAGAAGCCAGAATATAGCTTAGAATCCTGGAGGAAACAAAGGTCACTAAAGAGACACAACAGATGTCATGAAGCCTATACATTAAAGCTAACATTCTTTATAAGCAGACCCTTAGGCTCTTATTCAGAGGTTATTTATCCATTTTTTTTGGTGACAAAATTGTGTGTGAATTTCAGCAGAATAAAAAATTTTTATTTTGTGGGGCCAGCCCCGTGGCCAAGTGGTTAAGTTCTCATGCTCTGCTTCAGCGGCCCAGGGTTTTGCTGGTTCGGATCCTGGGCGCGGACATGGCACTGCTCATTAGGCCATGTTGAGGCGGTGTCCCACATGCCACAACTAGAAGGGCCCACAGTTAAAATATACAACTATGTACTGGGGGGATTTGGGGGGGAAAAAGCAGGAAAAAAACTCTTTTATTTTAAAGAAGCATCTATGCTCATTTATATATATATATTTTCAACAGCAATGCATATATCCAGAACAAAATTAAGTGAAAAGTAACTTCCCCTTCCTAGAAATGATCACTGTTGCCTGTATCTTGTAACAAAAAGTTTTGTAAGTTTGAGGATCTTGTTTCGCATTTTGAAACAAATGAGAAATAGGAGGTAGAACTGCATATAAGCAAGATCTGCCCTCTGACAGGAGGGAGGAGACTGGAAAAAATTCAAATCAGGCCGAAAAATCTCAAAAAGCATGCCAGTTTGCAGTAATCTTGGCTAAGAGGCAAGCAGACTTAGGACTGGATGCTCTCTGAGGGTAACTATGTTCCATGACAGAGAACAATTACTTATGTTTCTATCATCAAAAAACAAGTCTAAATTCTTTGAGTATACTTTTCAAAGTTAAGGAAAGATGATTTGTTAAAAAAAATCAAGGAACTAAAATTCAGGTATCAAAAAATAATTTTATGTGACATTTCACTTCCCAATCATACTAAGATAAAAGCCAATGGGGTTAACACAGTGCTCAAAAAGTACTCTTCGAAAGTTTCTCCAATCTTATGAAGTCAGTAACTAGGCTGATTTACATACAAATTTCATCATTTGTATACAAATGGTTGTCCTGGATGACACATCAAAAAGGCCAGAATTTATACCGTAATTGAGTGATGCAACACTTGGAAGACAAAACTTAGATGAGTCTGGTTTCTACTCCCAAAGCCTCTCGGCTAGGGATGGACCAGCCCAATTATCTAAACTCTCTAGAGACAGGGTGCTGGTTCTGTGATTACAAAGAAATTAAGAGTAGGAGAAGGGACCAGTTCCCCAACCTGGGAGTTACCAGAAAAATCCGATCTATAACAAAGTAATAGGCAAACAGCTCAAGAAATAAGTAATGGACTCCAATTACAGCAACACTTCACCTTAATATAAAGGTAGGCCAACAGGAAGAAAATATCCTGGTAAACAATCATAATTCCTGAAACCAAAAGTGGAAGCACAAGTCCATCTGAGACACTTTCACCTGATTAATATTTACCTCTATTTGGAGAAGAGAATCACAAAGTTGTTTAAGACAGTGACTCCTGCATTAATGACACCGAAGAAACGGGGAAGAACAGGGAAACTGGCAACATCCTAAAAACCACAGCAGTCTACCATAACTGTTTTTTCATACGAGGATTTGAAAAGATCTACTATAGTCCAAAAAAAGATCGGAAAGTATGCCAGTTGCTCAAATGACAACGTTTTACATGGGAAATGAAACGCTTTCAGACATTAAAGTCAAAATGTGACTCTGGGAAAGCAGCTCAACAAAAGCTGTCCTTGAGGGAAATAAAATACGCAGAAAAACACTGCTATCAAAGTTCTCACTTCCTGTTCGCCCCTTCTACAAAGCCGCAGGTCAGGAAATCAATGTAATTCGTTGTCAAGATGTTTAAGTTGAAAACGCTTTATTTGCTCCTAATCGAACTAACAAAACATTGGAAAGAATGCAACATTCTTTTTTCTCAAGAAAATGCACGAATAAACGAGTAATTTCTCATGAAGTTTTAACGCTATTTTATCTTTTAAAAAAAACCCAACTAAATAAAAACTTTGAAATGTGAAAAAGCCTCAACGTGCAACTGAGGAGAGGGAAGAGAAAAGGAGAACTTTGGGGTCGCTTATAGGATCTCCCCCATGCGACAAACACGACAAATCAAAATGCATCCGTTTTAGGAGCGGGTCAAGCTTCGAGCACCGGTCCTGAGAGCGGATGTGATGGCCAAGGTTTCGGAAAGAACGGTCCCTAAGCCCTTCTAGGGCGTTCCTGGGGGACTCGGCTCGGCTCGGCACCCGAAGATCGCACTCGTGCCTTCAAGTGGGAGATGACACTGATTTTCCGTAACTGGCATCCCTGGCGGCCTCCACCCCCTCCAAACCACACTGCGCCCGACTCTCTGTCGGATGCAAACTCCTGCAAAACGAGTTCGATGGCCCGAGTCGCTGCGGGACTCCTCAGAGCCCGCGGACCACTTCATTCCCGGCACGGGGGGCGACGGCGGGGTACAGGCTGCTGAGATCAGCAGAAAGCGGGGGTCCCCCAGGCGCCGTCCTTCCCGAGCGCGCCGCGCCCACCTCCGCTCCGGGGCTGCGCGGGCGGCGGCGGGGGTCGGGTCCGGGGTCGCCCGCCGGCGCAGGGACCCCGCGGCGCGCGCCCGGCCGGGGCAGGCGGCGTGGGGGAGCCGCGGGCCCCTCCCCTCGTTCCGGCCCCCGGGCCTCCGGCGCCCCGCGCCCCCGGCCCACCTTTGATGCCGGCCATGGCGCTGACGTCGCTCCTGGCTCCAGGACCCGAGGCGGCTGCGGCCGGGAGACCGGAGACGCGCGGCGGCGGCGGCAGCGGCGGCGGGCAGACAACACCCGGAAGTGCGCGACGCAGCACTTCCGCCGGCGGCTCGCGATCGCGCGGGGGCGCGGGGGGCGCGCCGGGCTTGGGGGCGCGGGGCTGACCCCTGCCTTCCGTGCTCAGATCTCCGGCCGACCGCCGCCCTGCGAGGCCTTCCGCCCCCGGCCCGGCTCCGGGTCGTGCAGGCTGGCGGCCGCCTCCAGGGTCCGCTCAGGGCGACGGAGCCTCATGTCGAAGCCCCATCGCGCATCCCGCAACCTCGCACATCCTTGGAGAAAGGAGAGCGAGCGGCCGCCGTCCTTTGGGAGGCGGGGTGTGATGTCTTTGGCGGATAACTGTGCGTTCGTTAAAGCGCATCCGTTTCTGTCTCCTCCCCAGCCTTGGACTAAAGAAGTGAGGCTAGGTGGGTCGTCTGCACTTGGCTCCTCGGTGTCTTGCACAGAATCAGGGTTCCTCTGAGAACCCACCTACAGAGACAGGATCAGCGGGACCCAGGAAAAGGCGGATTCAGTACAAATCCGAGCTCTTGGGAGTCTGTGAGAATCGCTGGGTTTCTTTAGTAGTAACAGGGCTAGAAAAAAAAACTGGAGAAAGCAGAGGTACAAATGCGTTTAAGTCAGCCTGCAAATTTATTGAACATTTACTATGTGTGGGAAGCAGGGCTAGGCACTGAGGTGAGCAGAACTAGGCATGGTTTCTGTCCTCACGGAGCTTGGAGCTTGCAGTTTAGTGAGAGACAGAGAGAGACAAAAAGGTGTAAAATTGCAACTATGATCATTGCTAGGAAAATGGGTCGACAGTCTTATGATAGCCTTTGATTTAGATCATCAGAAAAGATTTTCCCGAGGGAGGGGCAACGGAGGGATGAAGAGGTGTGTGTAACTACAAGAGAAAAGGGAAGCCCAGAGGGGATAGTGTACTGGGGGGGTGAGCCAGGGGGCAAACTCTGGAAGCCAGGAGCTTGGTCTGTTGGAGAGAGAAGGCCAATGGAATTGCTCCCGGTTGGAGTGGGGACAGGAGGGTCCTATACTATAAGGAATTTTTTCTTTTTTTTCTGTCTCAGCAAGGAGACTCTTTTGAAGGGTTTTAAAAAGATTCAAGAAGAGATGGGTCACATAAGATTCGAATTTTTCAATCTTTTGAGTCACCACAATAAGATAAACTGGCATATAAAACTCTGTTTTGTGAATGGTTGGAAGAGATGTTCCCAACATACGTTAAGATGAGAACCACTGGGAAGGGAAAGTTATTGTCCACCCTGCTTCCCTCCACTACTTCTGGAGTTGAATTACAATTTTTTTTAAAAACAGGTCACTTGAGGCTTCATGTCTCAAATAAATCTATAGATATCTTGTGGAGTAGAATTTTTTTCTATTCAAGTTAGTGCAGAAAGTTCTGCCATCTTCTGTACATGAAGAAAGAGTTTCCATTTAAGGATTGTGGTAGCAAAAACACTAGGCGCACTTGAACATGTTATGGAAATGCTGTTGAGACAGTCTGCGAACCACGAGCTTCATTCTCTAAACTGAAGCTGGCATCTGCCTCCTCCTCCCAGCCATCTTGAAAAGAGTAGGTAGAATTCCTGGAGAAGTAAATGATTCCATCCCAAGTAGTCACCACTAACATTTTTTCTTGATTTGTTCCACAGTATTCCATCCTCAAAAGCAGGGAGGGCTGAGGGAACATAGTAGAGATAACTGATCCGTGGTGTTGGTATTGGTGGTGGAAAGTGATAGGTTCTCAACTCAGGCTCGTAGCTTGACTTCTGGGGGAAGGACTACATTTTAGGGAGCCTTTTGGGGCTTCCACAAGCCCCAGTGGCTGAGTTAAGTGCTAGTCCTCTAATTTCCTCTTGTGAATACAAATGGATTAGGCATTACAGACATGCATCCTTCGTGACATTAAGGGGCAACTGGGATTGTTCTTCGGGTTAGAGAGATCTATGGTCTTTTGCTTCCAGTGTCATGGAATCCTAAGAGATTGTGCTCCTTTGACTTGTCCATGAGATCCACAGTGTTTCTAGAAAGAAGAAAACACTCATTACCCTAAGGACTATTTTTGGTCTACAGAGGCTGTCTGGAGTCATTTGAGACCTTAAAAACAGTGTTTCCAAATGTTGTAATTCAAAGACCACCTATACAGAATTCTTTGGGATGCTTTTTAAAAATGCAAATTCCTGGGTCCCAACTCCAGACCTTCTGAATCAGAACTTTCATGGGCAGAGCCCAGGAATCTGAAACTTTAATAAGCACCCTAAAGCTTTCCTATGCAAACCAAAGCTTGAAAATAATTGTCTGAAAAAGGTAGAATGTCAGTTTTCTTCAGTTTACCAAGTGAACCCTAGAGATTAATGTTATATCTTTTAAATGTTCTCTAAGTATTCTTACATAATAGTTAATCAGTGTTACTTTTCATAGTTTCAAAATTTTTTATCCAGATGGCTTCCCATCCTCCAAAGTTAATTCGCAAAGATGGGGATGGGGTGAGAGGAAGAGAGCTGTGGTTTATTGAGCAGCTGCTATATGCCTGGTGCTTTAAATATTTCTCTAATTTAATCCTCTCCACAATTTTGTTAGCTTGGAATCACTAACTCTTATAGATCAGATCAGAGAAACCTCAGAGAAGATTTTAGTTTTTAAAAAACTTTTTATTATGGAAGAAGTTAAACATATAAAAAAGTAGTCATATTAGTATAATGAACTTCCATGTACCATCAGCTACCCTCAACAATTAACACACAATGTTGTTTTGTCTATACTCTCACCCACTTCCCTCCACCTCCCATATTATTTTGAAGAAAATTCAAGACAATTTTTCATCTTTAATATTTCAGTATGTTTCTAAAAGTATTCTTAGAAATAACATAGCCATAGTACATTTATCACACCCCCAAAATAATGCTTTAATACCATCATATATGAATCATTGTTCAAATTTCCAATTGTCCCATAAATGTCACTTATTTTATGGTTTGTTTGAATAAGGATCCAAATCAGATTGACACATTGCTATTGGTAGGTCTCAGAGACATTTTAAGAAACTGCCTCTTATCATTTAGATCTCAGCTCAGATGGTAGCTTCTCAGAACCTTTCCTGGACATCCTGTTTATTATAGCACTTGAAATCATATTACCTTGTTGTCTTCTTGAGAGCACTTATTGATCTTAACTATATTATTTGTTGGCTTTCTCTCCCACTAGAATGTAAGTTAGTACAACCTTTTATGTTTTGTTCACCACAGTCTAGAACTGTACATAGCAAATGACGGGATGTCAAATGCCAGAAATTCTCTTGTTAAGGTAATTAGTGACCTTTATATTGCAAAGTCCAAAGGTCACTTTTTGATTCAAACTTTCAACAACAGTGCACACTGTTGACCATTCTCTTTTTCTCTCAACTACCACACCACTACTCTCCTGGTTTTTTTTGTATCTCACAAGAGGTTACTTTTCAGACTCTTTCTAGGATCTTCTTCTGCTCAAGGTTCAAATGACAGTGTTCTCTTCGTTTGGTCCTGGGACTCCTTTGCCACATCAAATCGTCTCCCTATGCATTGTATCACTTCCTGTGGCATTAAATACTTTCTTCATTTTGATAACATAATTACCAAGTTTACCTTAGCTTTGAAATTCAGACTTGTATATCCAAGTGTCTATTTGACCTGTTTACCTGGATGCGTAATGGTCACCTCAAACATAGCATGTTGAGAACAAAATTCTCTATTACCTTTATTCCAATCCTGCTCAGTTCTACTCCAAGCTGCCACTGTTCTGCCTCCTCTTGTTCCAATTTTCCCCTAATTTACATTGCTTCAATTATACTGGCCTGTTTTCTTCTCCCAACCCTGGAATTTTGTTTTATTCACTGCCGTATCTCCAGAACGGTGCCTGGCAGGTGCTGTTAGGTACTGGTAGGTGCTCGATGTATAAAGGTATTGGTTGAATTGGTGAATGACTGTTCCTCAAAACACAGAGCTAGGGCTTTTGCATTTACTGTTCCCCAGGCCATGAAGGCTCTTATGGCTGGTTCTTTCTCATTATTCAGGTCTCACGCTTCAAAATCACTTTCTCAGCAAAGCCCTGCCTGAAGTTGCCTCTCGGTCTCTATTGTCTAACCCTGTTTTATTTTAATCAATGCCTTTATCGCTGCCTATTATCTTTGTTTATTACTTTATTATTTAATGTGGTTTATCCTATCCTGCTTCAGTGTAAGCCCCATGAGCACAGGGACCTTGTCTGTATCCTCCGGGCCTGAAACAGTGCCTGGCACACATTAGGCATTCAACCTCTATTTGTTGAATGAATGAATGAATGAGAGAAACTCACGCCTGTCAGACCTCAAGGATAATGCCTGGGCACTCTTAGAACTGTTTTCTCTGACCTGGTTCTTTAGGTAGTAGTTTTTCCTGATATTTTGTAGTCTTACTGCCTCCGCTTACAAGGAAATACAGTATGTATGTAAAGGTTCTGAGCTCCTGAAATCTGACAATATATTTCCATGCTATTTTTCGCCCAAACCTCTGCATTTAGCAAACGGTAACAGAACACGAATCACGTGCCAGGCGCTATGCTAGATGCTGAAGACATGAAGTTGAATAAGGCACAGTAACTTCCCGCGGGAAGGTTACTGAGGTTTTGGAAACACATAAGTTGACTACACTTAAATTTCGCGTTGCGACCGATGGTTTCAATTTCTCCGAGGGCTGCAGGTCTGAGACCACACACCGCAAACCAACACCCTGCCCTCGGCCCCGCCCACAGCCTCTGCGTCCGGCCCTTGGCCCCGCCTTCAACGGCGGCGCCCCGCCTCAGGCCCCGCCCACTGTCGCGGTGAGCCCCAGGGGCGGGGCCCGCAGCGTCCACTCCCGTGCCCCCACGCGCCGCAGCGGCGGTGGCGTGACACTGGCGCACGGAGCTTTGCTGCGGTTGCGGGTCCGTAGCTGCCGGCGCCTGTTCCCTGCTGCGCTGCCGTGGCCCTCGCCGTCGCTGCGCGGTGGCGCGCGGATTTCCGCAGCTCGGGTCCTGGCCCCGCGCGCCGTCCACACCGAGCGCCATGGCCGCGGCCGGCGGGCCGGAAGCAGCCGGGCCCTGCCCTCGCCTCAGCCTCCTTTTGCTTCTGCTGATCGCAGGCCCTGCCCTGGGCTGGAGCGACCCTGGTGAGTGGTGTCCTCACTCGCCCCTTCCTGCTGCCTTCAGCCGGCGCTGAGAGGCCCCGCGGGCGACCCGTTCCGTTCGCCGCCCCTTGAGCCCTTCTACCGGAATTCCTTATTTCCATCTTCTCCCTTCATCTGCGCGCTGCCTGGCCCCTTTGCTCTCCCAGACGTCCTCCGGACGAGGGGAACTGTTGGGGAGTGGGCGGGGCTGGACGACTCCGTATTCGTAACATCCCCTTTCTCCCTTCTCTGGACTCCCAGAATTTGTCCACTTTCTCCTTTCTTGGGCTACAGCCTTCATCCCTGAGTTTGACTGGAAAGCTCGACACTCACCTGCGCGTCTTGCTTTGTTGTTATGACTGTCTGATGTCATCGTCGCGGACTGTTGTCATGGCTGCCTGTTGGTATGGCTGGCAGTGGCCGTGGCTCCGGCAGGCTCTGAGTCACACTCAGTGGACAGGGCTGCAAACCTTGTAGGTAGGTTAGCAGAATCACAGACTGTGCTATTTATGTGAGCAGAACTCATGCTTCTTATTCTGACCATTACGGTGAAGTACGTTGCAGTACGCCGGCTTTCCCCTTGTTTATTCACCGTACACTAGAATTTAGAACATATTTGCATCTTATTTTTTGTGTGTGTGATGGTACATGATAAGTGACTTCTAGGAAAAAGTTTCTTTTATATCACTGTGTTATTGGAATTGTCGAAAGAACTTTTATAGAATCAGTAATATTTCTGTGTAACTAATATATATGTGTATATGTATATACACACACACCTACAAACAGTTTCATTTTAGTAAACGATGGCATGCTGTTAAATTGGAATTATGTAAAAACTGACTTTGAAACAAAACATTTTTGGTTGGGGAGTAAAGATGTTAAGATGTGGAAAGTGTACCAATATTGCATTGTGATTTGGTGATAGGAAATGCCCATGTTTTTGAACCTAAGCAACAGGTTTATTTCTATAATTTTCTGTTTTATTCCTAAGTACTGAAATGAGAGAGAAGATGCTGTTTGCTGGTACTTGAGTTTGAGTAACTCATTTGATGTGGATGTTTTATTACTAATAAATAAAAAGCCATGTTGGATTTAAATGTACATTTTCCTTATGTATTCCTAGAAAGTTGTATGTAAATAGGAGACTTTGGTCAGAATTATAATTTAAAAACTGGAATGAAACATTAGTTAATTGAACTCTCACAAGTCTTAAATAAAAAAGGACGTTTACAGAGTCAGGGGAATTAAAAAAAAAAAAAGAGGAACCAAATTTAAATAAATAGTGAACTGCTTCTTGGTAGCTCTTAGTCTGCCTACTATAAGACTGTTGTTCTGGAACAGAAAGCACCAAAATATTTTGCAGGGTAACCACAATCAATTTTCATAAATTATACTTTAAGTTTACCTAGAGGAACTGTTTTATAAAGGTGTTTTATTGGGTTAACTTTTAGCAAGTCCTTTGGTAAAGTAATAGTCACTCCCTAATTTGTCTTTTCTTTTGACTTTGGATGCACTTTGTCTTTAGCTAACATAGGAGCAATAATTTGTCTGGAAAAAAATAGTACCGGTTCTAAAGAGATTACCTAGGAATTTTCAGAATTTATTGAGTTAGTCTTATATTTAAGTCACTCTTCTGGGTATTGGGTGTATAGCAAGTGTCTGCCTCCAAGGAGTTTACATCTGTTTAGGAGAAATAGACAGTAAACAAATAAACATGTAGATAGCATTTCATATTGTGAAGAGTGGTATGGACGATGATAAAACAGGGTGAGCAGGACAGAGTGTGCAGGCAGAACTAGGGCCTTTCAAAACATTGGTTAGGAAAGAACTTGCTGTTAAGGTGACATTTGCTCAGAAACCTGAAGCAGAAGGAGGAGTAAATGACCTGCTATGACTTGTATTTTGAGACTATAGGAGGTAGTGGGGAAGCTGGGAGGCCACTGCCTGTACAGTGGGTTCCAAGAGTGGTGCTGGTTTGGGACAGAGGAGAAGCAGTGGAGTTGGTGAGAGTGGTTGGATTCTCTTCTCACCTATTTTGATGGAACTCACGGGATATTCTGGTGGATTAGATGTAGGGATGAGAGGAGGAGAGAAGTCAAAGATGACTCCAAGGTTTTTGACCTGAGTGACGAGAAGGGTAGAGTTACTATTTCCTGAGACGTGGAAGATTTGGGGAAAATCAGGTTTGGGGAGTTTGATTTTGTTCATCTTAAGTGTGAGACCTGCAAGTGGATTTCGATTTGTGAGTCTGGACTCCAGGGAACTCTGTGTGTCCCTTGATTGATGTAACTAGTGGGTGTGAGCATTTTGTTCTTAGACCTTGATTTAGTTCAGGCTGCTGTAACAAAACACCGTAGACTAGCTAGCTTAAACAAGCATTTATTTCTCATTCTGAAAGCTGGGAAGTCCAAGATCAAGCTGCCAGCATATTCGGTGTCTGTTGAGGCCCTTCCTGGTTTGCAGATGGCTGTCTTCTCATTATGTCTTCAGTGGCAGAGAGAGAGGCTTCTGGTCTCTTCCTCTTCTTTCAAGACCACTAATTCCATCATGGGGCCTCTATCCTCACCACCTTGTCTAAAAGTAATCACCTCTCAAAGGCCTTGCCTCTGAACACCATCATATCGGGGATTAGGGCTTCAACGTATGAATTTTGAGGGACACAAAACACAGCAACCTTTAGGACTGCTAGGGAGGAAAGATGCTGTAGGGTTATGGTAAAAATACCCCATGTGTATATAGCACTGTAAACATTCTCAGTAATATTTATCGTGCTTGATCACTTATTGTGTGTCAAGTACTCGGCTAGATAATTTTAGTAAATCGTGTCTAAACTTCACAACCAGTTTTAAGGTTGACATTATTGGCATAATTTTATAGGTGAGGAAACTTCTACACAGATAAATTAAGTGACTTGGCCAAAGTCATGTAGCAAGTTGGTGACAGGAATTTACTTCACTGTTCTTTGCGCTATCTCAACCCTGCCACAATACATCCAAGTTATTGTGATTCCTGTTATTTAGTCTGATTTTGTAAACAATTGAACATTTTCATTGTTCATAGTTTTTTATGTATGAGGAGGTAGTTTGGGTTTAATATAGCATATTTTATTTTAATATAATTCTTTGAAATTTTAGGTCTTCAGCCCATGTGGAATTAAGTTTTTGTATAGCTTTTGGTGGATTTCTTCCAGCAGTATAGTCAGTGATGCCAGGGTCATTTATTAAAGAAGCTATCCTTTTTACACTAAGTCAGAAAGCCCACTTTATCTTATATTGAATTCCCACATATATCAGGATTTATTTCTAGACTTTCTTTTGTTTCACATTTCTCTTGTCTCTTTCTGTTCCAATTCCAAACATTTTGATTACAGTAATTTTATAGTAAGCTTTATTATCTGGTAAAGCAATGCATTCTTTTTAAAAAAGTTTTTGGCTATTTATAGACATTAATTTTTTCATAGGACCTTTAACATAATTTCTTTCCAGTTCCAAAAAAAAAACTCAATTGAGTTCCTGGTTGGAAGTGCATTAAATTTATTTAGGTCTTATTATATTTATATATAATATATATATTTATATAATTATATATATATTTTACATATATCATATATTGATCTTAAGTTTATTTCTAGATATTTTATGTATGTAGTCACTAATTTGATATAGGCTTTACATTTTCATTTCTAATTGGATGTTATAGGTATAGAAAAAGCTGTTGACTTTTGGAAATTGATAAAATATCAAGCTATTTTATCAAATTCTAACAGTGTTGTCTTTTGAGAAATTGTCTTGAATTTCGTAGGTCCAGAGACTCTCAATACAATGTTATTTCTTCTACTCTTTGCACTAAGAGAGACAGACACTATTGAATGATTACTCAGAAGCCATTCTCTACCTTCTTGGTTTCCATGTAAATACTGGAAAAGCCAAATACTCCTTTTGTTACTGGACCAAATGCAGGCCTCTTCTTGGTGAGTTAAATCAAACTGCACCAGAAGTAGTTGTCTCACAGAGCAGAAATTTTATTTGTGGCATGTGGCAAAGAAAGTGGAGATGATAGGGAGTAGTTTCACAAATCTATGGCTCTCTGAGCTTGGGGATGTAGGGACCTTTATTTGGGGTAGGAAATGAATATTCAAAGGGGAAGTTTCATCATCACATGTAGAGGTGGGCATAAGCTTGCACATGTGTGGTTTGAAATCATGCTTTTACATACGTTGTATGATCTAAAAATGGCTGCTTCACCCCTCCCAGAGGAGGATAGTTTAGGACCTTAATGAGGGCAGGTTACTTTAGTATAACTCTCTGCCTGTCTGCACAGGTGTCCTTCTTGTGGTTGCCGTCTGGACTGGTCTGGCCTGGTTCAGAGTGGATGGGTTTAGAGAGGTTGTCGCTTAGAGCTTCTTCCTGGAACATAGTTGAAATCACTTAAGCTTAAAACCCCAAAGAAAGGAACATTTGCACCTTTTAACAAGACAAGAGAATTAGGTCAAACACATGAAAAAGGTTAGAGTTTAGGCAATACAAGAGAAGTGAGTTAGGGTCCATGGCTAGTGACAATTTTACTGGAACCCCTTGATGCTAAGTCATTCTAGTCAGACTACTAGAGGAATTCTGGGAGAGACATTTTAAATTTTGATGAAAATTATCAATCTTTTGATATTCTTTGTTTTCTTTCAACACTTAAAAAAAAAAGTTGAAACATTTTAATGTAAATTTTGGGCATCATGACAGGCCACTGCTAAATCCTTCAATATTCACCTTTATTTTTAAAAAAAGGAAGTTTTCCCTACATGGTAGAAATAACATTATACCTAACAAAATTAATTCTAATTTCATAATATCAACTAATTACCCATTCCATATTTGGATATCACAGTTGTCCCTAATGTGTCTAAGCTAGTTTGTTGAAACCAGGACCCAATCCTGAACCATGCATCACATCTGATTGTGTTATCTTGTAAGTCTTTTTAAATGTAGAACAATCCCTTTTTTTCATGCTGCTACTTTGCTGAAGGGATTGGGCCAGCTGTCTTTTAACATCCTACCTTCTGGATATTCTGTTTTCTCATGGTGTCTAGCTTGTTTTTTTCTTGCCTGTATTTCTAGTAAACTGGATGTTAGATCTGATTGATTAGATTCATATTAAATACTTTTGGGGACTACATCACAGGAGATCCTATAATATCAACTTGTTCTACCATTAGCCATGCCAAGATTGGCTGGTGGATTAAAATGGTCTTCCCTCTCCCTTGTGAAGTTTCATTTTTCTGGTTTGTGACTAGAAAGCAATCTGTGTAATGTTACTTGGCAGCACACCAATATTCGTTCACTTAATGAATTTAAAACTAATTAATCCTTGTCTGAATCAGTTTCTTAAGGGGCTGTAAAATTAAAATGATCATTTTTCTAATTGTCATTTATTCTAAATTTATTAGCTGGCATTCTTTAGTAAAGTTGAAATTTCCCTTATCAACTGAGGCTATTTCAGATTGTAGTTCCTGCTGGAAAGTCAGGATAAATATTTAATTTTTAATCCTTAATTACCGATTTTCAAAGTAAGGAGGTAATTGGGTAGCCACTTTAAGTAGCGACAAATGAGGTATTGGTGTTCGCTGAGTGTTATTATGGATTCTTGGATTTTCATAGATTGAGCATGATTTGATCAGCCACGGTCATTATCTTGCTGGTCAGTCTTTGCTTTTCAGACCTTCCCCATCCGAGGCTCATAACGTATTCCGTTGTGCTTTATTCCAGTATTTTTAATTTGTTGTATGTTTTTAACCATCAGGGATTAATTTTTGTACATGGTATAAGATAGAGATCTAACTACCCCTGCCTGCCCCTGGATAGTCTCTTGTCCCAGTATTACTTTTTGACTGATTGGTTCTTCTTTCTCTATATTGAAACGCCACTTTAGTCATATACTAAATTTTCATATACCCATGAGTCTCTGTTTCTGGGTACTTGTTTCATTGATCAATTTTTCTAATCCTGTGCCAATACTATACTGTTTATGTTACTATAGATTTCATGATCTGTTTTGATATCTATAGCCCAAATTTTCTTTCTTTGTTGGTTTCTTCAAATAGTCTCAGCAGTTTTTCTACATTTTCACACTTAAGTTTTGGACTCAATTTTCAGGATTCAAAGAAGTATTCTGTTGGTATTTTGATCAGGATTTCATTGACTTTATAGATTAATTTGGAGAGAATTGGCGATTTGCTATGTGGTATTCCCATCTATGTATATCATGCAAGTTTCCA